TAGGTATTTAGATATCTAGTGGGGGACCACAGGTTCAGGGTGTCTGCAGTGACCGGATGTGCACATAGAGCAGGGAGTGGCTTCCACAGCTGGAAACAGACAGATGAAAAGTAAACCATAGGGAGGGAAAGTTAACACCATTAAGTTTACCTGTAATATGTGGTTTCTTTACATTAGAATAATATTGGCGAGTGAGATGCTGTCAAGGCTTGCTGGGTGCGCAGGGTGTGAAATTATATATTGTTCCATCTTTAATAAACTACAAATTTGTACTTTGGTTTGTAATATTTTGTGCCAATGCTCCCTCGTATCCAGTATTGTTTTTAATTGGCTTCAGACTAATTAATGTTAATTAAATTCTACAAGCCAATCTAATCGTCCTCATATTCCAACATTTATCATTTACAGAGAAGCCACAAATCATCTCTCTATTCTCCGTCTGTGGCATGAGGAAGTCAAGCCAAATGAAGCTGAAGCCTTCATGAAACCTTACAACTTCTCCTGCAGATGTGTTTTTTTTTTCCTAGTATCCCATTTTCGTTTACAGTCTGCATTCCTCCGTTACGTTTTGTGCAAAAACAAATAAATAAACATGTCCTTTAAGTGGGCACATACAATACATCACTTTATTGTGTCATTTCTATCCTAGACTGATGCTAGTCACTACCAACGTTATTTTCTGCAATATACATTTTACATCTTAAGTTGTAGTAACCATGAGTACTTCTGTGCAATTTTCTCTCAATCATACTGTAATACAAGCGTGCCATTTGGTTTAACTGTTCTCTGAAATATGTAAATCTACCGTGGCCATGAGACTGGAGTATATACAATGCTATTGATATGCCCTATGTACAACCAAAACGGAGTCTCTATCTCTGTGATTGTACTCTAGCAAACAGAAAGGTTGTTGTGCCTTCAGTAGGTCTGTCTACCATTCAGTCCTCTGCGTCTTCATCCTTAAGCCCAGATCTGGAAAAAAAAAAATCAGACAGCCGGCATTACAAGATGTCACCACAAAGGTCACTGCATAATTCAAAGCTGTCAGATCAGACAACAATAACGGACATGTCATACCCGAAGAGTGTGGTCCCAGGAACCCGTGCAGAAGGCCGTCCCGTCTGGGGAAACACGCAGCGTACTGACACGGTTCTCATGTCCAAACAGAATAGAGACCCGTGTTCCTTTGAGAACATCCCAAACATTTATAGTGTAGTCGTTGTAGCCACCAAACAGTAGCCGTCCTGAAAGATATTAAAAACACATAAACTCCTTTAACTCTACTAAACAGTGAAATTTGTCATTAAAGCTACAGGTAGTGACTTTTATGAAAACAACTTTTTGTCTGGAACTGTCGCTACATCCACACAGTACAACATGAGACCGAAAGAAACATGTAGTGCTTCAAATGCTATTTGCTAAAATCTACCATGGCTCATGGGAAACAACCAATCAGAGCTGAGGAGTCTCTAACACAGCTGTCAATTATGTCAATCTCTGCTCCTGAATAGTGTTGTGTCGTTCGCGAATGAATCGTTCAAAAGAACGAACCTGTTGAGTGAACGTACTGAACGTAATCACTTCCGGAAATGATTCATTCATTTCTCAGTTCAGTTGAGCTCAGCAGCATGCGTACAGGCCGGGAGTGGAACTGCGAATGATGAATCACTCGCGAGTTGTGAGGCAGCCAGTATGCAGGGAGGGACTACCTACTGTGTGACGAATCACTCGGTGAACGAATCACTCGGTGAACAAATCATTTCTTCTCAGCGACACACTTTCATAGGGACCATTTTCTCCAAGCTAACAGCTAATGTAGCCAGGAGTCAAGCCACATGAACACAATCACACATCTCCCCATTGTTTTAATAGACTTAGTTTCCAGATAAACAAACTTAAAACGTTAGGCTGGCCAGTAATGAGACTCACCAGTGCAGGGCAGACACAGCAGCAGCTCAGCTGTGTATCAGTTCAGTGAGTCGGACTACGCAGTACACAGTCAGGGCCCCTCCTGCCAAGCACTGAATGATTTCGGTGAACGAATCTTTTGAACGAATCTTTTTAATGAACTTCTTCTAGTGATTCAGTAACATCTAAAGAACTGCTTTGCCATCACTACTCCTGAATTGTGGTCAAACTGTCAAACTAGGCAGCGCTGATTTTTGCATGACTGTTTCCAACATGGCGGCCAGGTTACAAACTTTCTCATCTTACAGCTAAACAGTACACTAAAATACCTTTCTGAGAACATTTGAAGCTCACAAGTTCACGAGCAGCTGTGAAAGTAACTTTTGAAATGTAATAGGTTACAGACAACTACTTACACTGTTAAAAATGTAATAAGTAATGTAACTATTTTAACTAATTAATCAAAGTCCAGAAATAGGTTATAACAAAAAAGGCAATGCTGCACACCGAAACAATACAGTGCAACAGCATGAATGTCATGTTCTACTTATAAGCTTTAGACCAAAAAGGATATATTTGGATGTAACCGCTTTGTAATCACCAAAATTTTGATAAGTAAATGTTATTTAATCATATTTTTTTTCTCAGCAAATTTAGCTAACTTATAATCAAAATTATTTTGTAATTTAATTACATATAACTGGTTACATGTAACTAGTCACTTCCCAATACTGACAAGCAGTGATTAACATGATCGACAGTGGCGTTTGAGACTCCTTGACTCTGATTGGTTGTTTTCCATGAGCCGCATGGACTATGGCAAAAGCCATTACAAGCACAACGAGGAGGAGGAGCCTGATTTCTTCACAGACTCTCTGTCACATGTCATACTGTTTGAATGTAGCGACAGCTAAAGCAAATATGACAGAGAGTTATTTTATATAGAAATCCCCCAAATACAGCTTTAACAGCTGTTTGCTTGCATAGCCAGACGAATACTATCTTACCACTGAGAGAGAAATCAACACTGGAGACCCCGAATATGATGCTCTCTTTGGAATAAATAGCCACTTCTCTGTCTGCCCTCAGGTCATACAGGCGGCACTGTAACAAAGGTCAGTGTTGAAATGTTAAAGAGGATTTTTATTATGTTTCCAACTGCGCTTCATGTGGTGAATATCTGATTACTTACTGTTGCATCATCTGAGCCAGATGCAAATGCATCTCCACTGGGATAGTATCTATGAGAAGAAGAAACAGACAGCCACAGTTAGGAGCTAATACTGTATCTGGTGTAGGATTTGAACAGCGACTCCCAGTGGTGGGATGAAAAAAGACTGCAGCTGAGAATGAATGGGCTAAAAGTCACACATTTTTTTCTAGGTTGTCTAATTTTTTTCAACAAACATATCAATAAACAAAATCAGAATAATTTAAAAGATGTTACAACACAAAAAATACACACACAGGATTTAAATTATCTGCTCATATCTTCATTTAAATCTCACAGTTTACAGAATCATTTGGAGACAATCACTTACCGCACACTATTTATGTCTGATTCATGAGTTTCAAAGGACTGAATACACTGTCCTGAACGCATGTCCCACACATTGGCCTTCTTATCACAGCCCTGCAATAAAATACAAACATGCAGATTAAGAGGAAATATTAAAAACAATTCACTGATGAGTAATAAACTGTAGTAAAAGGCGTCCTCACCCCTGAAACAAATGTGTTTCCAGTCTCAGAGGGGGCCAGGTCCAGACAGAGCACGTCTGCAGCGTGTCCATGGAAACTCTGCAACAGCTGCCCACTCTCCACATCCCATAATGCACACGTCCCATCCCCGCTGGACGTCAGGATCTTTAACACAAGGCAGACGATGACGAGGAAGAATAACGGCCTTTGTAGAGACCAGTAATAGTCGATGTGGGCTAACACACGGCTATAAATAAATTGTCTTTGCTGTGTGAAACATCATGTGACCAGGACATCAAACCAGGAGCAACTGGCTGCTGTGAATTATTAACAAAGTGGGGGAGCTCCTTGTGCTGGGATATGGAAGGCAGTGATTTATGATTAATAATGACAGAGAAATAGTGATGAATAGAGAAGCAGCCGTGTTTGCAGAAAGCTAAAGTGTCTGTTTGATTGTGCAATCATGTGAAACACACAACTAGCATTCTATAATTGTTTTACTCAGCTGCTTTTCGGTGGATGTTTCTTTTTATGAGTGAGGTCGATATTCTCACCTGCATATCCGAGTTGGTGAAGCTGCAGGCAGACAGGTAGTTTGTGTGCATGGCCACTGATTTCTTCTTGGCAGCCAAGTTCTCATTCTTGTCCAGAGACAGAGGATACACTGAGCATTTATTATCCAGGCCCCTGTGACAGGAAAACAACCTCAGTTTACCAAAACAAAAAACAAAGAGACGACACACCACATTTGGATCATCACGTGTTGTAAGACACTCACCCACAAGCCACAGCACAGCCGGAGGGGGCGTAGGCGCAGGCCATCACCCAGGTGCACGGCATTGTCACAGCGTGCTCCTAATAAATATCAAAAGACAAAGCTGCATGAGCCGCATCGGAACAGTGAGATGAATCAAATTCATTAGAATTAATTAATTAGAGCAGAACAGGAGGCTGCAGGCTTTGAGAGATTATCTGTGTTACAGTTTGTCCTAAACCAAAAACTTTAAAAAGGCAAACTGTCTTTGTAAAAGACATTTTCGTGGTCAAATACAAACTCTGAGAGCAATATCTGGTGTCCTTTCCTCTCCGCCTTCACTCATAAAAATGTGACTTAGCATCTTTTGCATCATAGCACACTGTGGGTATCCTGTTGACATGGAATACTGTGCATTACTCTACTGCAAAACTGTACAAATGCAATATAGACTTGAAGCCGTCTACATTCAGTTAATCTGCACAAAACACCTCTTATTTAATTCTTACCTATTCTACACAAGTGCAGCACGATGCAGATATTTACACATCTTTCATATATTTCTATTACTTATTCAACACATCTCTTACATTTTCTTGTATTTCTTTTATATTTTATATGCATATATTGTGTTATATATTGTAGCATAATGCAGATTTATTTCTTGCAAACCTATTTCTGTTTTCTTATAATGTCTCTACATCTATAAACAGTATAAGAGCAACTGTAATGTCTCAAATTTCCCCCCCGGGATCAATTAAGTATTCTGAATCTGAAACCTTCCATGCCTCCTCCTGTCTATTTTCTGCACAACAATGGGGAGAGTCTAAATTAGAGGCTAAACAGATGTCAACACATCTGCCTCCTGTAATTTAAGAGGTGTCAAACCCTCCTACCTTCAATGCAAATATCAAACAGTCAACACTTAGTAACAGTCACAATATTTTACAAACACGAAATCATGTTTTTATGAACTGATAATAGGCTATTAATGAAGTCTGTTTTAGAAGCTGTATACTCACTTATTCAGTAGGTGTACTATCTGCTGTTTCTCCATTATTTTTTTAATTATTTATCCCACTAATATTATCCTGTTATTATATACAGGCAGGGGACCAACTGAAGTATAATCCTGAATACAAAGTGGAGAAACATATCAAACACATGCTTTGAAAATGAGGTGAATAAATTATACATTCTTTACAGTTAACAGATCTCAACCCAGCTGATGACCTATAACATATGTGTCATGCTCTCCACCACCATCACAAGACTAAATGATTTAATAAAAACTTTAATCTTCAAACTTATACTTAGTGATGTCAGTGATTGTCTCTGATGCTACATGGCCTTTTGTCATGTCTGGCTCTCTTTGTTTTTCTTACCATCTGCTGTGCTCATGTCTCTCTAGCAAAGGTCTTGATTTCAATGAGATTAGCTAACTAAATAAACGTTGTATATATAAATGACAGAATATGTTGTGGGGGACTGGTGTTTATCCCTCTAAGAGACTTTCACAGACATGGCAGAGAGCATTGAGGCTTGTTGTGGCCGATCATGTTGGTTTTACATTTGATCTGTCACCCATATTTTTTGTTATTTACATATATGTTTAAATTATGACTTGGATTCAAATCAGTGGTTCCCAATCTGTAGGTGAGGACCCCCCCAGAAGACAAAAATATAAATCTAAGGATTCACAAAAAGAGTGTGTTGAATAAGGTTGACGTAAATTCAACCAGGAAGACTTTCTTTATGCTTCATTCATTCACTGTTATCTCCCTCTGTCTCACTCCTCCCACTTCCTCTAATCAGCTGATTATGGGTGTTCGTTCTTCCAGTTTAAATCAATCAAACTTTGCCACAATCTCTATCAGCCAATCATGTTGCTGCCTTCACAATTTAAATCTGTCCTCCTTTCTGCTGCTGTCAGTTGTCATTTTAATTGGGGTCTTCTCACCCTCCGCCATCTACAGTCATCATATCCAGAGCCCGATCGAGGTCGAGCTCATCAAAAGTCTACTCCTCATCACATCCAGATCCTCAGCAATCTCTCCATCTCATCACCACCCCTAGTGTTTATACTCTATGGTGCTTATACATGTAAGCGCTAAACTCTTTCCTCCAGCTGCTAACACTATGTCCTGCTAGTGTTGCAATGATGTTCTATATGGAAAATGTCACTGCTGCCTCCATAGTGCTTTTAAAATTGTATCTCCTTTTATGTTGCATCATCTTTGCTTCAAGTTTTAACACTGAATCACACATTTGATGATCATTACATTTGTGTGACTAAAAAATCAAGTTAAAATCATTTCTTGTTGACATGTCCAAAGAAGTCTTTTAAACTGTGTGTCCTGTTTTTTTGTGTGTGTGACTTTTTTTTCTTTTTTTGTATTTTAGGTAGCCTTATGTAACATCCAAGGGACTACAGATGAAAAATAGCCTTTAGGCTACTTCTGGTATTTTTTATACCATGTGTATTTATTCATTTGTACTGTTCTCTTCTTCACTAAACTAAACCAAACTACAGTAACAGAGGCATTCCCTACTCTACTACAGCTTCACCAATACCCTTGAAATATATGACATCATGATGGGGTCTAATTACTGAAGACTATTCACATTTCTCATACTTTTATGCAGTGTTAATTTTTTATGCAGTGTCTTTTACTCAATATGAGTCTCTCCTGCTAGAAATAAAGATTTCTATTACACAAAATGTTGTTTATTTTTCTCACATTTGTTTTTGCTTTTATCCTCAGAAATATCAAAACTAAATATTAATACTTATCCTTCTAGACTTAATAAAATCTTTTAAAATAAATAGTGTGAGATGGAAAATCACTTTTTGGTTGAACTGCTCACAGCTTGTGTTCACAGTCTCTGTGGAGAGGTCAAAAGTCGCTATAAGCTGCTGATACAGAGAGACTACAGTTAAAGAAAGAGAAGGTTGACTTGGTGGAAGGAAGCTGAAAACTGTTTCAGAGTTTTAATAAAATTATTCTTTAATAGACTGTATATTAAGAAGGAGAAGTTACCTTGTTGGTGGTGAAAGCATCCCATACAATCACTTTTCCATCCTGCAAAGAGATTAGAACAACTACATTATAAAACACACACACTTTGCATCATATGCAACCATAAACTGGCTCTACAGGGTAAAAAAAATAAGGGCTATGAGAGTGAGCAGGAGCGCAGAGTGTGTGACCTGTGAGGAGCTGACGATCCTCCTCTTGTCCTTACACCAGTCCATACACAGAACTTTGTTGCCATGTCCCTTCAGAGTTCTTCGGGTCTTCATGACAAACTGACCCAGCCCCTCCACCTTCTCGGCCACCTGATGTACTGCACACACACACACACACACACACACACACACACACACACACACAAATACATAAACCCTCCACTGTATACACCCTGGATTAATATTTCCAGGAGCAATAAGGATTACAGTAGGCCTGCGATAAATGGAGGAATATTCAGAATTAATCTTTTTTCAATCTGTCATCTCCTCAAATAGATCATGAAACATGCATCATATGGGTTTCTTTTCATCCACATCTTATTTAACAAAGCTGAGATATGATTGGATAAAAGCAGCACATAGGATAAATTCGGATGGAAGCAGTGGGCTGTAAAATGGGGAAGCAAACAAACAGCCTGCCTGTCAAATATCCGAGGTACCGTGGAGACCATCAGGTCAATAATCACTTCACACACACTCACATCCCTGTTAAAAGCACCAACACCTGCCCTCCCGCTAAAATACATTACACTGTGATGAGACATTTGCTCTTATTTGTCCCGTCACAGTGTAAACGCAGCGGTGAGCCGAGGCCTCTCCATTTTCAGCACTCACGCTCGACATCGTGCAGCTTCGCTCTTTCCTCCTCCAGCTTCGTCTTCAGCGTCTCCGACTCCGTTTTGAGGTGGGAGAGAGTCTCGTTCAGCTGTACCTCCTGTGTCGCCATTTCAGGGATTAGAGGGGATCTCATATATTTCCTTTGTGCAGGCAGCGATCGGCAGCGAAAAGGCTTAAAGCAGAGCTAACAGCTGATGCTGCTGTCATGACGTCAGAGGGAGAAGATGCTCCTCCAGTTTACAGATGGAGGAGGAGGAGGAGGAGGAGGATCCTGTATCCCGGTGATGCTGCTGCTGCTCCAAGGGCTCTATCCTTGGCAGCATCACTACTCTAAAGCTGATAAATACATTTTAAACATAGAAAACACACTGGCGCTTTTACATATCAAACCATTTACTTCAGTGGAATCAATTATTCAGGAAACATGTTTTTATATCTTAAAGAGCGGTTACAAAAAATATATATTTGAAGAAATATATATATTTTTTCATATAATCATCTGTTTTATAGTATTGAATCAAAATATTGTTGAATTTTATTGACTCCATTTTCACATTTAAACAGGGCTTGACAACATGAGGTCATGTCCTTACATAGTGGGTATTAACTGGATCATATGTCAGTATTTTTAGACTCACTAAATTAAGCCAGCAAAATATCAACCAGAATTTAATTCCTGGCTTTGCAAAGACTGCTTTGACACAGCATTTAGACTTTGGTATTGGGAGATAAAATTATCAGGGCTGCTGTCTTCAAATGGATTGTTTTGTCTTGGAACAGTCCAAAACTCAGTAATATTTAGTTTTCCATGATTTAAACCACTACTCTAAAGCTGAATAATACACGTTAAACATAAAAAACAGGATACAGTTTGTCTTTAATGCAGGAACACAGATAAATGTGGCACTCTGGTGTTTTTACATATCAAACCATTTATTTCAATGGAATCAATTATTCGTGAAACATGTTTTTATATCTTAAACAGCTGTTACAAAAAATATATTTATGAAGAAATATATGTTTTTATATAATCATCTGTTTTATGTCAATGATTGAAAATATTGTTTCATTTTATTGACTCAATTTTCACATTTTAACAGGGCCTGACATCACTGAGGTCATGTCCTTACATAGTGGGTATTAACTGGATCATATTTTATTATTTTTAGACTCACTATATCTAAATTTGGTGACTTTTAAGCCAACAAAATATCAAGCATAATGACATTACTAGCAGTGCAATAGTCCAAAACTCAAAAATATTTAGTTTACAGTGATATAAAACAGAGAAAAGCAGTAAATCCTCACACTGCAGAAGCTGAAATCAGAGACGTAAAGTCTCTCTTAATTTTCTGTTGATCGACTTATTAATTAATTAATATTGGTTGCAGCTCTAATAAACCGCTCTCACCCCTATTCAAAATCTTTTACTCTCTCTGCAATTCATCTTTTTAATTCTAATTCAAATTCTTTTATTGTTCTTTTATCTCTTTTTATTGATAATCAGTCTATTAACTTGTATCATTTACTTATAGATTCCTTTATTCCACTGAGCTCCTTGACACATTTTTTATTTATTTTTTTACTCATCTTTTATGTGTCGACATGTTACTGTACATTATGTTATAGTATGTGTAAAAGGCAAGCTGTTCAAACAAACTGCCCTCTGGTGGGATTGATAAAGTTGTCTGAATCTAAATCTAAAATGAACAAAAATCTTTGAAGAAATAAAATATAAAAGTCTAAGAAATTATATAAAATGTTTTTTTTGTTATGTGGTACATTGAGGGGACATGACCTCTGTATTTAAAAAATCCTAAATATAAATATATGGTGTTCATTGTTTATTTAAAGTGTTTACACATTTATATACACAATAAAATACAGCCATAGGCCATTGCACTATCAATCAGTCATGAGGAGTGAAAGGTCGAGTGCTGGCTGTGTCAGATCCTGGTTAGAAAGCCAAGATGAAGGCTGCTGGGGACCTGCAGCAGCTCCAGAGCCTGCGAGGACGGGCAGAAAGGAAACGTGACCTGGAAACGATAGTCCGAGTCAAGCATCAGCTGTGTGGATCCGTCACGGTCATGTAGTAACGACTGCAGCAAAGAAGAGCAGATTGGGATTATTAGTGAAGCGCAAGAATGGCAGATGAACACATAGTTCAAGATGTTACACTGGACTTTAAAGGGACAGTTCAGGAAATGAACAGTCAAGCTCACCTGAACTTTGCGGACAAATGACGACGACACCCTTTTCTCAAAATCATCAATGGGTGTGTACGAGTTCAAGATCTTGACAATCTGCAAATTTAAATGTGAGTTTTGTTTCAGTGTGGAACTAAACTTCTCCAGTATCAAGCATGTGTGTAATGTGAGAACACAATACCTGAACAGGGTTGAGCTCAGTGCATTTTTCAGTGATTTCGTTGGCGTCATCATCAGTAGACTTGTTGACTTGCAGCAGCCAGGCGGCCTGTGACAGCGGCCTCAGCGTATCCATGGCGTTAGAGCTTTGCATTTGCTTCTCCTTCAGCCATTCCTCCAGATAACTGATGTTACACCTAAACAAACAGAGAAGATATGATGTCATTTTTGTCTGCATAAGGATAGTCTTTATTAGCTGTGAACAGAAGCTCTACAGCTCACTCTGTCGGTTTATTGGTCAGTCCACAAAAACCTCCCCACCCTTTAGCAGCCACAGCTTTTGCCATAAAAGGCTAAAATTTGGCCTGGAGTTCAAATGTGTGCTTGTGAAGGTGTGTGTTTGTGTTCATGCCAATTAGCTAAAAGGTGGCGTGGCGTGGCAATGGAGTGGCCTATCAAAAAGTTGCATAACTTCCAAATGGATTTTAAGACATGCACAAGATTTTGAGTAAAGATTGGTCATGAGCCAAACAGCAGCTGATCAACTGTTCATTTCAACTAGCAAAATCAGCAACACATAGATGCAGGTGCACATTTGGTCACAGCAACTGCAAATTCATGCTTGTCCTTATAAAAACAACCACAGACCTGATTTGCATTCCCTTCCTGCAGGAGCACATGTCTTTGCGGAGCATGATGTTGTTGAGGGCGGTCGCACCAATGAGGAAGAACATTTGCTTGACAGCCTGTTTGATGAGGCCCTGCTCCATGCCATGCTGGCTCATGGTGGAGTGGAAGACACTGAGCTGCTGAATGATGGAGGAGATGGTGTGTGTCTCCGAGTCCTCGTAGATGCTGTTGGAACGCTTCCTGAAGCCTGTCGGCTTCATGCTGGAGATTCCCTGTAAACTCTCGTGCTCCAACATGCCGGGCACTGGTGGACCAGAAAGTAAAGCAGCACATTTTAAAATACTCATAAAGGTGCAAAATCTGCATGTGATTATGATGGACTGTGTAAAATACCAATTGCAGGAGCGAGGCTCTTCTCCATGACTGAGATAAACTGGTGGTAGATCTGAATGGCCATGTCGCTGAGAATCTGTCTGTGTTCAGACAAATCAAAATTCTTCAAGCAGTTCTTCTTCTGGCGAGGAGTGTTTTGTTTCATGAACTCCTTCAGAGAGCAGAAAAAAACAGGATAATGTCAAAATACACACGCTACTGTTCACTAGTGTTGTCAAAAATACTGATTTATCCTCACATATTGATTTTCATTTGATCAGTTTCAATATTCTCAACTCAGCTGTGCTCTCTTGCTCTCTCTCAGGGTTAAATGTTTACTACAGTTGTTTTCTGCTTCTAATCAAAAAAAGTAACATCATTGTTGACTTGTTATAGACTTGTTATATTTAGCTTTTAATGACATATTCAAATGGTGCGCCCTCACTGTCCAAATTTTTCGCCGGGGTATCAAAAATGCAGTGGTGTAGTGGAGGGTATACTCAGGTATACGGGGTATACCCACTTCTTTTTCTATCCAGTGACAGTATACCCACCTATCAGCTAAACAGCCATTGTAATATATAGGAGAGTATGGCCACTTCCTCATCGGTAACCTACCTATCTACCTAGTAGTACACCCACCTCATCAACTACCACTACACCACTGCAAAAATGGTATCGAATACTGATATTTTTCATGGTTTAGTATCAAAGTGAGAAATTCTCATATCATGACAACACTACTGTTTAAAACATCTTTGAGAAATGAAAAAAAAAAGTGCAACAAGGGTAAATAAAGTAGATCCATACCTCCTCCCCGCTGTACTGCTTCAGACAGTTGAGCAGCTGATATGTGTTTGAGAGCCAGAACGACAGCAACTCAAAGTCTTTGTGGTAACTCTGAAATGAAAAAATGTCATTTTGCTTTTATTATTTCTCAGCAACACAATTATATGTATTTTTTCTTATTCATTATTTATGTGACATTTTATTTTAGTCATACAACTTGTAAATGTGTACTTTTTCTGGCCGTGTATCCTTTCACAGAGTGAAATAATAATAATAATGCATTTTACTTATAGGGATACTGGGGCTTGGTTGGGGTGGTGGGACGGCTCGCGGCGGGCGCCTGAAAATTTCCCTTATTTTCAAATCCAAAACTTGACAGGTATGAAGTCATCATCAGTGCAACTCCCGACGCATGTGTCACCATTAAATCAGACCGCATATACCAGCTTGAAAAGGTGTGTTTTCAGATGGGATTTCAAAGTGGAAAGGAAGTCAATATTGCGAATGTAGTGGGGGAGAGACAGAACGGCTGAAGGCTCGAGAACCATAATAGTCAAGTCGGCAGATGGTGATGTGAGTTGGACTGCAAAAGAGGATCTACGAGTACAGGAGGGTGTGTAGATATGAAGGAGTTCAGGCAGGTAGGAAGGGGTTTCATTATGAAGGGGCTTAAAGCTGAGAAGCAGAATCTTGAAATTGATGCAATATTTAACAGGAAGCCAGTGGAGCTGCTGGAGAACAGGATCTGTGGAGGGGGTTCTATTGATGATAGGGGCGGCTAAATTCTGGACACTTGAGAGGGAGACCAAAGAGGTCAGAACTGCAATAATCAATATGGGATGTAATCAAAGAATGAACAAGGATAGCAGCGATCTGAGGTGTAAGAGACGGGCGGAGATGATTAATATTTCGTAGATGAAAGTATGCAGACTGAGTATCATTATTGACGTGGGCCTCAGAGGAGAGTGTACTGTCCAGGATGACACCCAGACTCTTAACCTGAGGGGATGGACATACTTTGGAGTTGTACAAGGACAACCTCTGTTTTATCACTGATAAGTTT